CATGCCCTGCCAGCGAGAAGCTGGGAGGGGGCACAGCCAGGACAGCTGACCCAAACTGGCCAAAGGAATATTCCATACCATGGGACGTAATGCTCAGTATAGAAACTGGGGGCAGTTGGCTGGGGGGTGGCGACCACTGCTTGGGAACTGGCTGGGCATCGGTCAGCAGGTGGTGAGCAGTTGCATTGTGCATCAGTTATTTTGTATATTATTATTATTATTATTATTATTATTATTATTTTCCCTTCCTTTTCTGTCCTATTAAACTGTCTTTATCTCAACCCATGAATTTTACTCTCCCTCCCCCCCGCCGATTCTCTCCACCATCCCACTAAGGTGTTTAGCTGCCTGTCGGATTAAACCACAACAGTTGTAAAACTGAGTTGCTTCTCAAGCTACTGAAAAAAAAAAATTCCTTTCTCATTCAGCATCACCAAAATGACATTTATGTTATTCAGGATTTTACCATTGCTCTCCCCTTTCAACACAGAGCAGTCAGCAATAGCACATAAATTTTTATGCCTGCCCATTACAAGGCATTGCATAAAAAGAGAGGGGGTGCAGATGATAAAATCGATGTGAAGGTTTTCACCGTGCTCTACTAAAAAGCCAAATAATTCAAAGCAGGTGGTAATGGAAAGTTCCTGACTCTGTGCCTCCTGTTTGGAGCTTGCCTCCTGGAAGCTCCCACAAAGCTGGTTAGTGCCTGCACAATAAAGTCATTCACTCTCCACTGAGGGGTCTACTAATAAAAAGGGGAGAAACAAAGATTGTCAGATGTCAGTGTATCAGATAATACTGCTTTTTTTTCCTTATTCACAAGCAATAGAGTGGCAGATAAGGATTTATACCAATCACAGGCGCAATGTTTAATACAAACTTGTGGTCTCTGTCACTCTGGCCAGCTTTCTGCTACATTTTATAGGTCACGGTCCATGAAATTTCATAGGAACTTTCATATATATTCTCTGTAGCAGGGTATGACATTTATTTGTTATTAAACAATATAATTTAGGGAGATGAAGATGCTTTATCCAAAACAACATGCGAGGTAGACTTTCATACAATGATTTCTCTCCAGTGTATCTGTATTTTGGGATCTCTCTATAATTCTGCAAGCTGCTTATTTTTTTTCTAATGGGAAATAATAATGAATATGATTTAATAATGATTGTACTCCAAGAGGCCAGGATACTCGTCAACTTTAAACTCAGATTACAACCTTTGCTTGTTTTTTGACCTGCTGACCCAGACTGTCACTACAAAAAGCTGTCATCTTTAATCATGAGAAACATGAGCAGCAGAGAGTTAATTGTGGTAAGAGTCAGTGCTGAGCATTGCATCCCGATCCCAAACACCAGGGAAGTCAAGAGGTAATGTCTGGTGAGTGCAGCTTTTAGTAGGTTTGGCAGCCACAGGAGGAGAAAGGTGAGTGGGGTCGGAGGTTGAGAAGGATCAAAGGTTGAGAAGAATAACACAGGCAAGTGCCTCTTTTTCACCAACCCAGTAGTTCTGTAAGAGAATATGCCTGCTTAGATCATATAAATCAAATGTGTTCTTGATGTTTTGGTTGTAGTACATTGTCCCATAGGCTTGATACCTCTTGTGGGCTGTATAGGACCTGCTAGCTGTGAGCTAAATGTCCCATATGTGTGTTTTTCATATGTAACAATCCTATGGGGAATACTTGGCAGACAGAGGATGAAGGAGAGAAAGGAAGAGAAACACGCAAGAGAAGAGCGGAGTGGAATGCTGGATCTGTATCGCTGCTCAGAATATAGTTGTGAGCCATCGAAGTTGCTGGTTTTCCATCGCTTCAGTGGTGACTTACAAGTCCCTTTATCCATTGGTCCATGTTACTGGTAAAGTATTGCCCCACTTCAGCTCAGGGGCGAGCCCTGGAAGTGGTCAGGATTGCATATCCACAGAGGTGGTCATTCTTGCAGCTATTTGTGGCATATACCAGCTCGCATGACCTGCAACTTTTCTTAATGAAACCAGAGAAGAGCCTGCAGTGTGAAAACCCTCAGGGCTTGTAACCTTACTGAAATATCTATTTTGGGAAAAAAATTGTATTTTTTTTAGCAGCACAAAACGTGTGAGGGCCTGCAGATAGCTGAAATAACACTCAAATCACAAAGCATACCACTATCGAAATTTAATCTAGGCTCTTTGGTGCATAATCATATTTCACTCATTTTCCTTCATACTTTTGTTTGAGATAAATGAACCCCTTCTATGCCACCACCAACCCAGAATTCATAAGCCAATATTTTACACCTGGGACAGGGAATGTAGCAACTGGCACTTTATGACCCGTCTCTCATTCCCCTCCCTTCAACAGTCAATAGTGTTTTCAGCATATGTCTCTCTTTAAAGTTTGCTTACAGCTTTCATTTCAAAATGAGATGGCAGCAGTCATTTTATCAGCCAGCACTCCTGAGCCTGTCTTTGTTCATAAGACACCACACTATGGCAAAAAAAATCTCTACTTGGCAGGGTACACCCTGGGAGCGATACTTCTTGGAACAGGAGAACCCCTGGCAAGTGACCAGTGTCACTGCTGAGCTGTGCTTGTCTTTCATTTTTATCCCTCCAAATTCTTGCCTTTTGGCAATAGATCATTCAAATCTGTTTTGGTTAGCCATTCACCTTTAGTGACAGTGATTCCTCTTGTGGTGCTGGAGGTGCACACGCAATGGGAGGAAGACAAAGTAGGCAGATGCGCTTCATTTTTTGCAGCTGGATTAGAAAACTTGCAAGATGTATGTGCAAATACATGTGGTTTTCCTGGATTTTCCCGGTCTTCTCTTGATCTTCTTAGGGCTTCTACCCAAGTACATACCCCTTTCCTCTAAAATCCCTGAAACAGCTGTGAGTTAGGCGCTGAGGTGGCTCTTTTGATTTGGACTTCAGTGTTTAAGGACATGCCTAGCAGCAGTTGGGAAGAAGGCAGCCCAGTCCCTCTCAATGAGTCCCTAAATTGCATGATGAGATGCCATGTCAGTATGACATGTCCATATTTACTGATCAGTAATTCCTCCAAATTACTACTCCTGCCATCCTGCGGCCTGCATGGCCCTTGGTTTCAATGTCTCTCTCACTGTAATATCAATGCTGTTGCTGTAAGTGCTGATGTGTGTGTCCCTCATTGCAATGTCCTCCCCAAACTGAGCACCAGCTATTGTAGGTTTTGTGATTATTGTGTCCTGCCTTATCTCGGAGGCCCGAGGCATCATATAGCATCATCCTCCTGCTTCTCTAGCCTGGAGAAATGGAAAAAAAAAACGGGTGGAAAGATTCCTTAAGGGGTGTGTTTAAGGATTGTCAGGCCTGTTCTTGACTACCCAGCTCTTGGTCATTTCCCAACCTTAATTTATACATGTGGAGACATAGCTTTTGCTAGCGTCAGTCTCAAGTCCTAGTGATGTCAGTCAATTTTATGCTAAAAGGTATTCTTCAGACCATCTTTTTCTCAGGAAAAAAAAAAAACAACTTACCTCAATCCTTGCAGACTTTGACAATCACCCTGAATCTTAGAAATAATACCTTGCATTTGATGTGTTTTTGATTATACATTTACCTTTGCAGTTCCCTCCCCACACCATGTTTCTTAAACACACACACACACACACCCTTCTAAGCAATTATAGCCTAAATGAACCTAAATCCCTCATCTTAGTAAAAGTTACAACTTTCACAAGTTAAAGGTGAAATATAGTTTGGTCCAATTCTGCTCTGTGCCAATGTATCCGTATACCTGTCTTATTGCATAAAAACTGTAAGAAAAACTTGTATAAAATTTTGACATATATTTTGTTTGCTATTATGGTTTGTCAGATGTTTCATTACATCTTGGACACACATAACTAAACAATTTCTAAAGAAAATGGACTATTTGCAGTCATCTGCTGGAGGCCTGCAGCCAACACTTCACACCATTTGTCAAGAAGGTTTTTGCCATGGAAGCGCAGGGAGCAGTGGGGACAGAGGGAGCCTGGTGCAGGGCTGGAGAGAGGGTCAGGACTGATAGCTGCAACTATGAAATCTGAATGAGAGGACAGAAATGCATGTTACATCAGTCACTTAATGCCTGGCCAATGGACTTTGCAATGGTTGTTTGAAGAGCAGGAGAATGACTCAGGAGACCCAAACATTTGGATATAGAGGTTCAGATTGTTGGAATGTGCTTGGGCAGTGCAAGGAGCAGAGCAAGGACTCCAATCCTGAGCTGGTCATTGTGGGAGAGAAAAGTCAAAGGAGTTTGTCCAAGACAGGAGAGCAGTCTGTTGGAAAGATATTCCTGTTGTGTAGTTGTTTCTCCCAGAGCAAATATTTGCATAAATGTATGTTCCAATAAAGCTGTGTACCATCTTAACAATATCGAAAGCGCAGGAAAGACTGTGAGACTTGAAACTAATCCACAGGTTTCCACATCTTTTTGCTGTAAATGCCGATAGCCCTAAAGAAACCCCACCGAAGAGTCCACATTTTGCAGAGATTTCCCCAAATAACAGGGGTCAAGTTCCCCACCACATTTTTTTGCAATACTCCTACACAGCCAAACCTTATTTTGTCAGTTTAGTGGAATTAATCACATATTCTCTATAGGGAGTTCAGTAGAATTAATCACATAGTCTTTATATGGATTTGCTATGAATGAGAAGGTATATTAATACATAGGCAGCAGGTGAATATTACAGTGAATAGTTTCCTGTTAGCACAGAGCATCACTGCATCTCTTTGAGTAGACATGACTAGCTTAAAAGAACGTCTTTCATCTGTGTAAAAGGTTTACTGGGGGGCATTGCAGATTGCTCTGAATAGCAATTCTTTCACAGAAACAGAGCTAAAAGGATAACACAAGTAATTGCATTCTCTAGTGCCTCCCAGCGCTTTACATGTTCTCCTCTATGGGGAAAAAAAAATCAGCTATTGGCAGCCTGGTGAATTTAGTAATTGTAACTAATGGGGTTGCTTTGTTTTTGTCTGTGTTTTAGGATGGAATGGGGAACCTGAGAATCACAGAAAAGGGTCTAAAGCTCGAAGGAGATTCAGAATTCTTGAAACCTCTCTACGCCAAAGAAATCCGGTCAAGACCAGTAAGTTGTTGGGAAAGGAATAAGCATGTTTCCGTAGCCCTAACTGTAAGAAACCATGAAGTGGCAGGGTGGCATGGTTATCAGATAAATTACTTTGGCCACTCTATACAAATGTAATTTTGGGAGTGAGGCAGTGGGTGTCCTTTGGGTACGTCACCCGGATACTGTATCCTCTGGGCAGTTGCAAGGTTGATACATGTGGGTTTAGTTTGTAGTTAAAATGCTTCCAGGACCTCTGATATTTCCCATTGTTGTTTTGTCTCCTTTTGAGATAAATCATAAACAACACTCAACTGAGAGACCTAATGTTTCCGAGGTAGAGGGGTGGCAGGCAGTTGTGAAATCCAGCTGACATTTAACTAGTTACTCCTTTTCTGCAGAGAGGTGATGCCTTGGCACAAGGACCTGATCTGTTGTTAGCTGGCACAGTAAACCCATATTATGTGCTCGGTCCTATTTCATGTTGTGTTTTAAAAATATGTGCAGTTAAAATTCAGTGCTGCTAGGAGAGACTGCTTGACAAAAATGGCAAGGATGTTAACAGCTGAAAATGAGAAAGAACCCAAGTGTGATTGAAATAGCATTTTCATACAGCACTTCATTGACTGTCGGTGACTTTTGCTCTTTCTAATGCAATCCTTTTTGTCCTGAGCAGCTTTAAAATAACTGAAACGATTATAGAGAGTTTCCAGGATCCTTCTCAGAAGATGTCATCTATCTTGTTTCCTGATCCAAAGTGTTAATTTGAGTCAGATACCAACCTTCCATTTTGATAACAATGGCAGATAGCTAATTAAATGAAGTTAACATCCCTTTATCTCAGCATTTCAGTGGTCTTGTAGAAATTGGAACTTGTAGCATAATCAACACAACATCCAATACAATATCCAATTTAATTATTGAAGGTTGTAACCTCTGTAAGATGGCTAGGAATTGATTTGAACAAGCATAACCGTTTAGGAAGAGAAGTTAATGAGAAAATGTTCATATCTATAAATGTTTTCATCCCTGAATTAAAACAGAACTGCAGAACCTTACATGTCATACACTTTGTAACGTAAAATGTGTGGAAAAGGTGCAGCACTTGGTTTGATAAATAGTCTGACAAATCACTACTTACATTTCTTTTTCTCTAGTTAGATTGCTGGAAATAGTATTTGATTACTAAGAGAACTGAGAACCACTTCTTGCTAGTGGGGAGTTTACTGTTTACATATTACCATATTGATCTATATTTTAATACGGCAGGGGGAACAAAAGGTGTCCCCTTCCTGAGGTTATGAAACTAGTTTCCACACCATTTCCATTACATTGACAGTGTAATGAATGCAAGGAACAAGAAATATAAAGTAAGGCCTTTGTGTGTTTTCCTTGCATTATCCAGCCTCCAGGATTATTTTTGCTGTTAGCCAGAGAAGGATCTAGTTGCAAGCCAGAAGGTCTGATCTACTACAGCCTAGTGAGTTGGAGCATCCCCGCTGGCTTCAGTAGATGCGTCCTGGAAACTGTATTAAGTATAGAGTTACATAAACCATGTGCATAGTTTTTCTGACTTCTCAGTGGAGTTAAACTAGAATAGCCTGTGCTGGCTTTCAGGTTGCTCACGATAATGCTGGAATTACTGTTGGGCTGGGGGCAACAGGGGCAATCCTATTGATTTCAGTCAACTTCTGCTTTCTTGTGCTATGTGTGAATTTGGCCTCTTTTAAGCAAATGAAAGAGTTGCAGTCAATCAAAGGATGAAAGTTACAGAATATTTAAAAATATTATTAAATAATCAACGCTATATTTTTTTAAGGAACAGTAGTATGACCCAGTATTCTCTTGGAGGGAAGTGTACTAGCAATTCCTGAACTTGATGAATATTGCTAAAATAAAGTGCCAAACTCAGCACTCAGTAGTACAGATGAATATCCATACTAATTCCATAGTAATCTTCTCTGGGTTTTCCGAAGTGCATAATGCAGCTTTAAATATGCAAAATGTAACAGAAACAATATGACAAATAACAGTAAAGTGAAGAGCATCCCAGAAATAAGCTGATATATAATATTTTTCATATGTTTAATTAAGCAACCTAAAAGTTGTGTACAGTAATAGATAATGGTTTTATATAAAGCTCAGAAGACTTTCAGATGCTGGCTATTTATAAAGACCTTAATTTAAAAAAAAAATAATAATTTCACTATCATTCTGTGTAGTAGATGAAGGGGCGTTGGTACTGCATGGAAATGGCAGGGGAAGAATCACTTTTTGTGTAAGTGGCCGCAGTCCCGTGACCTCCGTGGAGTGGGTTTTCCCACTCGTGTGTCTCTGCAGTGCTGCTCCCCACGCTGCCCTGCTATGGGCAGAGCTGGGCAATCCCTGCCAAAATATCTCCAAAACATGAATTGTGATAATTCTGGAAAGCCTGAATTTGTCACTGGTGCCTCTTCTCTGCTGCACCCCTTAAGTCCCAGGAAGGTGGTAATTAAAAGTACACACAGACTTGCTTTCCTAGGAGCTGTGCCTTCTGGTTTAAAGATAGTTTTGAATTTCCACTTAAAAGTGGATTCTTCAAATTAATTTGGCAGGGAGGGAAGACCAAGGTTTAGAGAGGAGGAAAAGCCCTCAAAAGTCATCCCAAGAGACTGGCCGTGTGGGAACCTCTGAGCTTCTGTAATTTGTGCCTTAAAGATCTCTAGTAGGTACTGCCCCCTTCATCACCTTCTGGACAGAGTAGTTGCATTTAGCTGTGCTCCTTTTGGAAAGTAACTCATTGCAACTGAAATTACAACCAAGAAGAACTGAATCTGTTGTACTGTGGCATGCAATTGATGACAACCCAACAAAGGCATCTTTCTGGGACTCCCTTCAAAAATGTTAGCAGAAGGATTGGACTGAAGTGGTTCGGTCCCATGCTGGAGAAGTGGCCATTGAAATCACCGATACAAACTGGCTTCTTAAAGCTGCTTCTGTCTGCATCACCGCTGCCTCCTCTGTCAGGAATGACACGCTCCAGGCTCGCTTTCCTTTTCCCTCACCCATTCAAGAGTGACCCCCTCAAATCCCTCTGTCTTCATATAACGAGGGTCTCTGTTCCCGTCGTTTCCCCATCCTAGTCCTGGCTCAGTAATACTCCTTTTGTAGTGCCTCCTGGATTAGGAGCCTATTTCTAAGCATCAGAGCTTACAAATAAACATAAACTTGTTACTGCATGAGCCTAAAGTTTATCTGGAGATTAATGAATAGTAACTGGTGGTAGCAGTGTTTGCACCCTTGTAGTCTTGTTTTAAAGAAATGAGATAGATGCATTCCCTTTTCCAGGAGTGATCAGAGCATCCTAAACTCCCAGCTGAACATATTGCACACTAAACAGTATTTTCCATGCCACTTGCATGGAACATGAGCATCTTGCTGCCTCTAATTAAGAAGTTAACTGGACCATGAAGTATTGCCTGTGTAAATAAAAGTGATTTGTACTTGGTCAAGAAGGTGCATTAGGAACCTTGCATTTCTTTACTTGTACATAAATTATGGAGGTTATTAAAAATTGGAAGGGTCATCTATAAACCCATCTGTAGCTCAGCTGCACTGTCACTCTCAAAATGTAGCTGTCTTTCTAACTGTTGTAATTTATTGTGGACTATCGTGTGAACCATCTGCTTGCTTATAAATCAGACAAACTTTGAAAGTTGCACGCAGCAGCACAAATTGTTAATTTTATGTGCTGGAAAGCAATGGCAACAGTTTTGTGGTCTTCAGTATTCATTGCCTTAATTTGAATAGAAATTTAAAACTGGAAATTTTCCTGCCTTTGTTGAGAAGAGCTGCTAACAAGCAGGTTGCTTAAAACTTACAGTGAGCACAGATTTAGTTTTCTTTAGTGCAGTTGGGGTGTTTTGAAGCTTGCCACATCCAGGTCTGTATGTAACTTAAAAGGGGCAAGACAGAGAACAGGCTATGTGCATTTTCCATTCCAATAACAACAGAAATAAAATCCTGTGCTGTGATTATACAGGAAAATCAAGTTAATTACTTGTCTCAGGAGCTATGTGACAACAAATGAGATGATAATCTCAGCTTTAGGAAGCAGAGAAAGACATTGCTGTGATAGGATTAGGATGGTTTTGCCCTTTTAATGTTCATTTCAAGTGTGTGGTTGCAGATAGAAAAAATAAACCTCAGTTTGCAAATGTTTACACCTGGGATTAAATTTTCTTACCCTGAATCCTTGTAAAGACAAGAGTATGGATTTGCCTGACAAAGATTTTTTGCAGTATAAAGCTCTTGACTGTGGTCCTGCCCATTCAGCTCTCTTGCAGACTCTCCTACTGATGGGTGGGTCTGGGAACACAGATCTAAACATGGACACCAACCCTTCTTGTCTGTCCTCTGCTACCGGGGTGGACTCCAAGCTATTCTGGTGTTGTACAGGTATAAGTGATGGCAAAATTCACTGAACAGATTTTGAGGAGATTTTAAATGTCTTTTAAAAGACATCTCTTAGTGTATTTAGCCGGTTTCATGTTGAAGGTCTGCTTCCCATTATTTTTAATCAACTAAAAAAAGAATTTAAAAGAATCCTATACATCAAAGAAAAAAGCCTGAGGCAAAGTACAGTGTCATTTTTTATTTTCCTTTCTTTGGGTGATGTTAGAGGCCCCTATCCGCCTCCCTGTGGCAATGAATGTCTCACTGAGAGCAACGTGCTCGCTCAGAGCGTTGGAGCAAACCTGGTCTAATTTGAAGCCGTACAAAATAACTAGTGACTACAGTGGAAGAAGGATTAGGCCTGTCATTAAGACTTGGCTGTGATTCTGCAAGGGCATCTGTTTGGCCTAAAAAATTCACAGTTGTGAAACAGGGCTGATAACTGCTATTCCCTTTACTGGTGTTTAGTAAGTTCTCATCAGCATAAAAGCTAGACTAGGAAGTACATAAAATATGCTTGTCTGTACTTTACATTTTCCCCAGTCAGTATTTGAATGATAGAAATTTTAAAGGAAGCTTTTAAGAGT